TACATTTATATTTTACTCATTGTAATTTATATATATTAATAGTTTTATAGAAATGTAACTATTAAAATGAACTTGATTTTTCAATTATTGAAAATACAATATGTTAATCTGTTAAAAAAAAAAATTTGAGTTATTTTAAAAAGGCCCAAATTACAATTTGTGTAGGTACAAGATGGCACAGGTACATAATGTCTTTGTATAATGTATATAAGTAGTTTATGTGGTGCAAATAAAACCTTAAAAAAGGCAGCAAACTATCAAAATTCTTTTTTAGATAAAGTGTAAATTGCATATATATATTTTATTTTGGGTTGTTTTCGATTAATTACGWACGTCCGTTCCAATCAGCACAAATAATCTTGACTTTCATTGATGAAAGCATATTATTATATTAAATTAAATCGTGGTGGCGTAAATCCAATAATCTTTTTACCAAATAGATACTCGTATTTATGTTTTTATTACTATATTATTAATAAGTACCTTTTCAGTTATGTTTTTGGGGTGTTGCTTTAGGGGTACTTGAATATACATATTATTATTCAATTAATCGCTGTCTACAATCTTTATTCCTCTTTATTTTAGTAAATTCTTTTTAAAGTCATGCAACAAATGGATCGATTTCACGGTAGACAGGTTGCTATAACAAATTATAAAATCACACTATCGTTAAATATGTATAGGTATGATAGTAAATTATTACAGAAGTCAACAACTCCAWAAATTATTAAATAAAAATAATATGTTAAATGCTAGAGTTTAATTTAAAAGCAACTTCGTGTATAAGATGTGACTTTCGGATAATTTTATATTCACCACAATAAAAAGTAAAGATAAATATATCTTTAATAAGCAATTGCATGGGTAAATTCACCCAAAATCGTATTTCAATCAACCAAATTTCCGTTTACGGGAAATCATAATGAATGCTTTCTTAAACCGATGTAATAGTCAAGTTTTCATTGATYAAGAAATATATTTAGGCATTCAACAATATACTTCAATAATTTAATACTTAGCTTGTTCGGTAAATTAATTACGAATAATTGTAATAGCATTATGTTTGTCATTATATTTAGTTTTAAATGAAACATTTATCTCACAGATTTGTAGGTGCGTGCTTTTAAGATGATGTTTTAAAAGTATTTATTTCTTTAATAGATAGATGCCTATTATGTATGATTAATTTAGCAATGTTAGGAAAATTTACTTCGGTACATTTACAGTAAACATCGATGACAAAAAATGGCCCTTTTAAAAATATCAATAACAAACCTACATAATTATAACTTATAATAAAGCAAAAAGATAACATCGGGCCAGTATAACATTTTAAGGGGTTTATTAT